TTTGTAAAAAAAAAGTAACTTTTTTTTTTGATTGGACCATATAATGGGTAGGATATTTGTGTCTTTATTATTCAATCAAAAAAGAAGTTGCTTCAGTCCCGATGGGGATTCTTTAACAAAAATTGGGACTCGGTTTTTTCTCTCCAGATAGCTTGGGGAAATGTTTTGATTCATACCTTTTTCCCTGACATGACTACTGTGCTCTTAGATCTGGATCCATACAGAAACTAGTAAAAAAGAGGCAGAAAACTTGAATACCAGACTAGATTTTCTGTGATGGAATGGTCCAATTGTTATTAAAATGCACCTTTAACCCACTGGTAAAAAAAAGTTATTCATAAAAGTTCAGACTGATTATCGAGTATTTTCACAATTATGAGACTGAGTGGTTTTTATCTCGACATTTATTCATCAAATGCATGACTAAGGAAATATTTACACACATACATACATACATTAATAAAAAATTGGTGAATAATGGCAAAGTGAAAATATAAAAACAGTGGTTGGGGGCTTTTAGTCTCTTGTGCATCCTATTTTTAAGCCTTCATGTTCCTTTAATATGCTCAGTTCAGTGCCAACATTAAAGCAGCCATTTCAGGCAGCAACATGTCCTAAAGTAGGTTAATCATGCAAGGTGTTTCCCAAAATGTCATCAGCAAGTCAAGCAGCTAGAAATGTCCTCAGACTCGTCTCTCTGCGCTAATCTGAGGTCGATCTCTCTCGCTGGGGCCAAGCCTTTCTTCCCGCGACACCCGTATGAGGTATCTGCTGGCCATCTGCAGGTTCCACTGGTATTTGGTTAGGATCTTGATACAGTCCTCTATAGAGCAGAGTCTGAGCGCATAGAGTTGGTCCAGCTGAGGAGACAGAAAGACCATAGCTTTATTAAATGCTGCGGGGAAAAAAAATGTTTAATGTTAATAAAAACACAACAACAACCAAATATTTCTGTGTTCACTTTTATTTTATAAATTGGGATCTTCACTACCCATATCAGCAGTCAGTGTATAACTGAAGTCAATAGCTGTGAGAGAATATACAAGTTCCTACAAAAATATCAGTCATTCAGAACATTAAAACTCAGAAATGTTTGATTAGAAGGTAAACAGACTTCCTCTTATTTTTCTTAACCCATTTAATTCCACCAGATTCATCCAAAAGGCTTCTTTAGCGGGAACATTAGCTATTGACAAGGACGATTCAAGATATCCTTCTTTATACATTCTTGTGATGATAACCTACGTATTATGACTATAACTCTTTCTCTCTTACATGATTTTACCTGATTACAAACTGAAATCACTTTATACAAGTCAATAATGTACGGTATTTCCTTTAAAGAAACTAGCATTGGCATTCTGTAGACTGCCTTTATTTAAAATGAAAAATTATTAACTCTAAAAACTTCCAGATACCTTACAACATTAAAAACTGGGCTTCCTAGCATAGTGGAATCAAAGCATAGAAATATAATAAAATTAAGATTTATCTAAAAAACTAACAATGGATTTCAACAACAGACTGTATTGTTTTTATCCTTTAAAGTGGTTTTAATAAAATGTGGATCTCCCTTCTCATTATATTTCTGCCTCCTCTAGATCATGTTAATTTCCTGTTTTTTTACCTTTTCATTGCAAACATTTAGAAGCAGATTTTAGTTCTTATGCTCCAATAATCAGGAACAAACTATAAAAGCACTTAAACCCTAGGCTCCTCCTAAAAAATTCAAATTTGACCTCATATTTTTTACCTTCCGCTATTATGGCACTGGGGTGTACTTTCCTCTAGGTCCTACTTGCTTTTTTTTTCTTCCATGTATAGCACTTCCATGTATAGCACTTTAAATTGTCACGTCACAGAAATGTGTTATATAAATAAATATACCCTGCTTTACCTCACTTGAAATAGTACGGTTTGGTATAAGAAAAGCTACCCTCAGAAGGACAGTTTGAACAGGTAAGATTAATTCATTAGAACCCATGTCTGCAGGATCAGTAAGGAGAGGTGTTCTGGGGGTTTCTATAGCAACAATTAAAGGCACTCTACATGTAAGTTGCTGTAGGTAAACAAAGCCTGGACCGCTTAAACTTTTCTGCACTACCACTGATAAAAAAACAACCTAGAATTGTAAACATTAACTCCACCAAGAATGGGCTGTTTCAGCTACAAAACAATGGCTGTGGTGTAAAGCTGAGCTCAGTGCGTGGAAAAGCACCTCAGGGCCACTGTTTATGTTGGGGGACTTTCAAGGTGATTCAAATTGTTTTAAGTAACAGGATGTTTGAGATTAAAAGAAATGTGGTAGCTACTGCTGGAAAACTGGTAATAAGCTGCTGAATAGAACTTTGCACAACAACAGGGGGAGTTTCTGAGAAGACAGTATC